GTTCCTCTTCCCTGTCTGGGCTATGCTGAGGACATTGTCCCAAACAACCACAGCTCCCCTAGATGAAAACAAAGTCTTCTCTAACCAATGTGCTTTGATACTACTTACTGTTCTTCCCCCTCACCCCCTTTAGGGATTATCTAATCCAAGTTCTTCTCTCTTTGAAAATGAGGACTCAGGTGCTTTCTGTCGCGTCATCATCATCATTAACACAGATACACACACACACACACACACACACACACACACACACACACACACACAGTCTTCTTATCCTGTCTCCCCAGTACTTTCCAAAAGACCAGTAATTAGTGTGGACTTTATTGTGTCTGTTTAATTCTATTCACATTTAAGCCAACTTTATATGATTTCTTTAAATTCAGATCTCTGCAGTACATCATAGATGGAGACCCTTCCTTCTGGGAGGTCCAAGGGTGGGAGAGGGGTGATCCTGCTCATTAGAGTAGAGAGACAAAACCATTTCATATTCCTTCTCATCTCCTCCAGGTTGCTTTGTGGTTGTGCCGCCCTCTGGTGGTCCCATTTCAAATTGCACCTTTCAGGTAGTGCCAAACCATTTTTTTCTTAAAAAAAAAAAAAAAAAAAAAATCTATCTATCATCTATCTATCTATCTATCTATCTATCTATCTATCTATCTATCTATCTATCTATCTATCTATCTATATATTTGACTTAAATTAGTAAGGGAGATGTAGAGATAGAAACATCAATGATGAGAGATAATCACTGGCTTCCTTCTGCATGCCCCCGACTGGGGATTGAGTCTGCAACCTGAGCATGTGTCCAGACTGGGAATGGAACCATGAACTCCTGGTTCATAAGTGGATACTCATCCACTGAGCATGCTGGCCAGGCTCAAACCATTTTTTTCAGCCCAGGATCTCTGCCAGGTACATAAGTAAGTAAAGTGAGTGTCATTAAGGATTTCAACAATGGGGGGATAAGGACATATATGCAGGCCCTTCTAAGTGACTGCACAGATTGGGATCCAATGAAGTTGGCCCTCCCTAGCAGGGCAAATGGATGTGTTCATGCTCTAAGTTAATTTCACCTCAAATTTATCTTATAAAATACCTAAAGACCTACAGTCATCTTTGATGTGAAAACTAGAGATTCTCCCACTAAAGATGAACAACAATAAGATTTCTAAGTGCCATAGTTAGACACGTGTGCTATGAAGGGAGGAAGTGGGTACCTGTTAATGTTGATGTTCTATGAAAATGACATCAGCGACAACAATGACAGCAGTGTCAGGGTCAGTTCTAATGATCAGCGGTTTAAGCAAATTTTGAGCTGTAAGGACATCCAGGATTCTGATCATTCAGGTTTCTGACACAATATGAGGTTTTCATGGCTCCAATGGTCTGAGCCATGCTGGACGGTACCCTTCAGAGTAAAGGAGAAGTTGCTGTGCTTGTACCTTCATCTAATCAATGTTAAGAGAATGAAAGGTGCTTTGTTAAATTTCTTTTTATACCTCATAGAGAATGACATGCAATGCCTATGGTTTGGAGCAAAGCCATCTAAGGCCATAGAATCCAACTAAGGCCATAGAATCCAACTGTTGACCAGCTTCTAGGCCTCAAGAGAGACAGAGAGTCTGAACATGGGCTGCAAGGTGACCAGCTAGCCAGAACTGTTCGTCATGACCTGGGTTCTATCACACCCAACAGAAGGTCAGGTGGGGAGAGAAGCATCCATCACAAATGGAAGTGACACATCCTGGATTAGATGAGGACAGGAGGCCACAATTATGGGTACCTAGCACTCCAGCCCTGTGATGCGCCACAGAACTCTCACTTGTGAAATCACAGAAAGTTCATTTTGCCTAGTCAACAAAGAAGGAAAAGGCTCCACTCACTCCAAGTTATCCTGATCTTCAATTCCAAACCCACCCCTCTCCCCCCCAACACACACCATCAGCTCCTCCCTTGCCTGCCCCTAGGCTTATAGTCAGCCTTATTCACTGACACACAAATGCCCTGGGACATGGCTAACTTGTTGACTCAGCTGAGCCACATCTACCGGTATGAGAATGAAATTTGGTCTTTCATGGCTCTTCCAGGTCATGTGGAAACTGCTGACTCTGAGCAATACCTTGAGAGCCAGCTACACAAGTCTCTACTGGGTCAAAACTGAAGACTAGACATATCAAGCCCCCAATTTTGACTTCAATTCTAAGCCTATCCTGCATTTCTCACCTTACTCAGTTTCATGCAACCCCTTTTCTAGTCTGACTACCCTACCTGATACAAATCCCAAACTCCCAGGGATCATCTTCTATGTTCATAGTGTCCCTATTCTACAATCCCTCATTGCTCTTCAGACCCCTAGTCACCAACTTGATGCTCATCTCCTTCTTCCCCTTGCCTCTATCACATGTGCTCCCTCTTCTCCCAATGTCAGGGCATTAAACTGAGTCTTCAACTACCTTGTCATTTCCCAAACCCTGTGTCTCACCTTCATGCCCATCCAAGTGTAAGAGAATGGCACTCTCCACCCTTTACCATACCAGCTCCAATGGCTTCTCCCTCAATAGCTAAGTTGGCCTCTCACTCATAATTCTAAACCCCTGTTCTGAGGCCCCCAAAACCCTGTTCCATGGCACCCTAGCTCCCCTTGAACCCATATAATGCCTAACATCCAAACCTTCCCAGGTTTTATAATTTCTCATCCTGACTGTGACAAGACACCAGGGTCCATGTCTCCCACCCCTCATATTCACCTTTTCTTTCCCACAATCCTTCAGTGGCCAGGTCTCCAAACATTTCAGCTAAATACTCTGGAGGTCACAAGGAGCAGGAAAGGAAATAGAACCAGAAGAGAGATTTATTTCTAATTCCCCAGGTTCTAGTTGTGGACTCTCTAAGAACAGGCACATAGAGTTTGTGAAAACAACAAATAATGAGGACACTGATGGCTGGCCTGAGCTCCAGGTCACAGAGGACCCAAAATAGGGTTGTTAACTGCAGGCTTGCAAGTGGCTGACATGACAAAGATCCTCCATATTTACCTGAGTTCTTGAGTTTTATGACATAATAATTTTTTAACTCTCTGTGATGTTTCCTTGAAGATGCAGTTAAAATAAAGGTAGAATGAGAATACTCTTAATGGTTAGGCTGCTGTGCAGATGCACTCAGATTCTGGGCCAAAGTCCACTCCAAGGCAACCTGGGGCACAGAAGGTTGTGGGAGGTCAGGTCATCTGTTTTGGAGGATAAATCAGAAGTAAGGGAGAACAGTTGGAAACATTTATTTGGAGGATTATAGCCACATAAGGAAATATTGGAAGATTTGAAAATAAGGTAAGAGGAGCAAGATGACATGATCAGCTAATTACAGGTAGGTGATGTCAAAAGAAAGCATGGATTAGGCAAATTTAAAGAGGCAAGAAACACTTTATTGAAGATCATGCAATAGGACAGTGAGACTGAGCTCAGCACCTTCAAAATAAAAGGCTGGGGAGATTTTAAGAATGGGAGCAGGAATCAGATGCATCTGTGCTTGCTATTTGGCTTTACACAAAAGAAAAATAAAACTTCTCATGAAATTATGACAGGAGGTCCTTTCACATCTTGGCTGTAAATGTCCTCACCCAAGTTAAGCTGCTTCTCTCTCTCAGACAAAGGAGGATTAAATTTTAAAGGGATGGGCCCAGGCTCCTGAGACAAATATTCTATGGGACATAACACTGGCAAGAAGTTTTTAAGGAGACTTATGTATATGTCAAAAGGGCAGAGAAAAAAACTGCAAATTGTCATTAGATTTCTGAAGAAAATGTTCTAAAACAATGGAGGTCGGAGGCCTGTAGTCAGGAAGAACCCATCTAAACATAAGTGACTCTGAGGCAACATTAAGGCCCCCCAGGTCAGAACAAAACTGCTTTCTGCCCAATGGAGGAAAACACAATGAAATATCTTTCAGACAAGATCCAGTTTGCATCTTCATCAGTTGCTGCAATTTCTAAGCAGGTGAAAAATAGCTGAGAGTCCCTGAACAGAGCTAGAATCTAATCTCCCAGAAGGCTGTGCTTCAGAAGTTTTCCATGGAGACATTACATTTTCCTCTATAGTCACTTTCCCTTTGATCAAACGACATCTCCAAGAAAGAAGAGTATTTTGATTCTACATCATGGCTGGTGTCACTTGATTGTCTGATGAGTGATCTAAGTGCAAAGGAACTGACATTCAAACATAGTTTGGTCTGATGCAGGTATTTCTATGAAACCTAAGATGGGAGTTTTCACAGCCTTTGGAGGTTAGGAAGACTCACCCTCACACCATCTGCAGTCTCTATCTTTGGGTAATGACTTCATCTCCAAGAGATTCCAAAATACCCTTTAGGTCAAACTTAGCCCCATAAAAGGTCAGGTCGTTTCTAATTCTCAGAATACCAGTCTGAACTAGGACATTTGAGCCAAAGCCTTGGTTGGTTGTATTACCAGCATTTCCAATTATATCCTATTAACAAGGAAGACAGTGTCCTACAGAACTTAGGAAATAGATCCACTGCCACAAAAATAAAAAAATATTTAAGAAGTATTTAGAAATATTTTGAGAGAAGTAAAACAGGAAGAAAAAGATCAGTGTTGACACCCACATGGGAGTCCTCCTGTACATTCTTGTTGTCCAAAACAGTGTCTGGGTGCCCTCCACAGAACCCATTGGAGAAGGGATAGAGCTTGGATTCTTGGAAGCTTATTGCATGCTCCCACTGGTCATCACATAACTACTAACCTTGCTGGGAGGGATTCGGTGTCACCTTCACTGTGCAGATGGTGCAAATGGGACCAATCAGAGGTGGAATTGGGTGTGGAATGTTGGCTTAAGTCAACAATAACCTCAATGTTAGCTCTCATTTTTGAGCACTTATTGACTCAGTTCAAGTCATTAAGGACTTTCCACCTTCACAACACATTTATTTCAAGGGTAAAAAATATTTATTCAGGGTTTAATAACATAGAGGAGGAAATTAGTGTATTAATATTTGACACGCAGCTCAATCGCTACACTATCAGCAGAACTGATGGGGTTGGACACTTCACACTGGTAGAATCCAGCATCCTCCCTCCTGACAGGGTCTATGGTGAGGGTTCTCTGGTCCTGAGACAGCTTCATCCTCTCCCTGAGCCACAGACTCTCAGCATCTAACAACCATTTAATGGAAGGCGCATTTGTGTAGCAGGTCATAACCACGGCGTCCTTATTCTCTGTGGCTGTGGTGTTGCTGGCTAAGAGTGTGGGCACTCTCACTGGCTCTGTGGAGAAACAGAGGGTGTGAATGATTGAGTATAGGCCATGCTCCTCCTTCAAAGATCTCAGCCACTTAGACTCCATGGTGAGCTCTATAAATGTTACCAGAGGCTTGTCTGGATCTCTGCAGAATGATTCTTTGCTCCTGTGACAATGTGTAAGAAAAAAGGATGGCTTCACCTTCTCTTTGTCCCCAGATCATCTCAGAGTGACTCCTGATCTGTTCCCACAGACATAGTATTGGCACAGGGAATAAAGCATTGGCCTGTGGATTGAAAGGTCCCAGGTCCAATTCCGGTCAAAGGCATGTACCTTGGTTGTGGGCACATCCCCAGTAGGGGGTGTGCAGGAGCCAGTTGATCAATGTTTCTCTCTCATTGATATTTCTAACTCTCTATCCCTCTCTGTTCCTCTCTGTAAAGACTCAATAAAATACATTTTTAAAAAAATATGAGAGGTTAATAACCACAACATATAAAGAACTCCCAAAACTCAACAACAAAATCAAACATCTTTATTTAAAATGGGCAAAGAGCCAAAATTGGTTTGGCTCAATGGACAGAGCGTTGGCCTGGAGACTGAAAGGTCCCAGGTTAGATTCCGGTCAAGGGCATGTACCTTGGTTGCAGGCACATCCCAGTAGTGGGGGGGGGGGGGCAAGAGGCAGCTGATTCTCATTGATGTTTCTAACTCTCTATCCCTCTCTTTTCCTCTCTTTAAAAAAATCAATAAAATATATTTTAAATAAATAAAATAAAATGGGCAAAGAATTTGATAGACATTGCTCAAAAAAAGTTATACAAATAGCCAAAAGCTCATTAGGAAAATGCAAATAAAAAATCTAGGAGTTGGAGTTGTTGCTTGTGATTTGGGGTGTGGGTAACTTGGTTGTGCAGGTGACAGAGAGAACACTGCCCTGTGCGGTACCTTTGATTCATCCAAAAGCATCTTTAATCAGAGCTGACACCTCTCACCTCACAGCCAACTTGAGTCCTTAAAGGAATAAGGCAGGTCTGTGTATCACAAGACAAATGCCTGAGGATCTGAGTGCTCAGAGAATGTAATGCCTCCAGCTCTATGAATGGAAGAAAGCACAGACTTCCTCAGGTGTCAGTTAAGAATCAGGGTTTGATCATGGAAAGAGATAGGATGAAAGTCAGAGACCATTCCGAAGTCTGGCTCTTCCCTCATCAGCTAAATGAGTGCCTGTCAGATCAGAGGCCATTCCTTCAGAATGAATGGACTTTCATCACCCTGCTAAGGTGTGTTTCTATGAGGCATATTTTCCAGGACATCCTAGAGACGGGTGTGTGTGTGTGTGTGTGTGTGTGTGTGTGTGTGTAGAATTAATACATGGGTACCAGGAACAAGCCAGTGGTCAGTTGAATACCAGGCCCCATGTGACTGACATGAGCTCCCTCCCTGCCCAAATGTGCCCCTTGGTGTCAAGATCTGGCTGGAGATTGGCTCAGAAGCACTGTGAATCAGGCAGTTGGGAAATTGTTACATACTCAGCCCTTCCCAGGAAGCCAAACCCAACCTAACAAAGGCTCTTCAGAATTTCTAGAGTCAGGAGCCCCGGGACAGGAGTCTGGGGAAGGGCAGCCAAGCAGAGCTTCTCTGTAAGGATCCCCTGCAGGGTCTTTCTTAGGGTCATGGTCATGGGGAGGGACCCAGAGACCTAAACTGAGACTGGCCTCCTTCTGCTGAGTCACTCCCATCAGACTTCTCTTTAAGGAGAATGTTGCAGGGCTGGAATCTGGGAAGGGAACTCTGACCTTAGGAAGTTTGTGTCCACTGTGTGTCCTGCACCAAATGCCCAAATCCAACCTGGGACATGAGGCAGAGGGGAATGGAGGAGAGTCTGGGGCGGGCAGTCTTGTGTGAGAAGTAGAGTTCACCCCACCCGACACCCAGAGGTCAGAGAACAATCACTCACGGTATACGTTCAGCCGTCCAAATCCTATTTCCTTTTTTAAATTGGGAAGGTAGACAACCACAGTGTACATTCCTGCATCTTTCGGAGTAACCTTCTTTATCAGCAACCATCCTTCTTTGTTCATTGTCTCTCGACCAGTGTACTTAGGCCCTCTTTCAGTGTTGTTTAAGGCCGGTGAAAAAAATAAAATAAAGCGACTGGTTACCGCCCCTTCACCCTGGTACCAAACATAACTTGAAGCTTCAGGAGGGTTATTACGGATACGTAGAATCACATCGTCCCCTTCAGCAGCATTGGTAGACACAATCGCAAGTTGGGCAGTGGTGGGCCGGCTCCAAAAAATAAAGAGTAGGACTAGGAGGGAAGAGAGAAACTGATCAATATTTGCATCTATGTATTGGGGTGGAGAGATGAGGCCCTGGATCTTGAGCACATCTCTCTATCTCTCAGCCTTGGTGTGTGTGTCTGTGTGTGTGACTCCTGTGGTTAAGGTCAATAGCAAGGCCACCATTATGTCTGACACTGTTCTTTTCCCTTTTTTCCAAATACTCTTCCTGTCTGGCTCTGGTATCTGTCTGGCTCTCCCCCTCACTGCTCACATACTCCTATAGACACTCAGGGGCATCTTTGGGAGAAACCTTTGCTGACCACCTCCTGTACAGACCCTCTGCTTTCACTGTCTCACCTGTCCTTGCTCTGTTCCCTTCATGAAAACTGTGGGTACCTGGCATCACATCCAGATCTTTCCTTGACTTTCTCCTACAGATAGAGCATACAAGCAGGGGCTTGTCTGATCCTGCACCCCCAGTGCCTACAGCAGGCTGTAAATGCCTAGTCACAATTCCCAGGGTTTTCCACCTCCAGGGGTTTATGTCCCCATTTCTAAGGTTGATGGTAAGAACAATGGATAGCACCCCTGGTAAGGTTTTTCTCCTGTTGCCTGACGTAAATTATTATTATTATTATTATTATTATTATTATTATTATTATTATTATTATCAGTTTTCAAAATTCATTATTCAGTGATGAATAACTTAGGAAAGGAAAAGCTGTTGAGGTTTTCCAACCCCTCATCACTTCCAGATTATGAGATTTTTCTGCTTCTAAACCCTCTTTCCCATCTGACTCTGCATCCATGTCCTCTCCCCTATGTCCAAAGAGAAGCCTTCCCTCCATTCTCAAGGTGCCGTGCTCCCCAGAAGATCCCAGCCAGTCTCTGTCTCCCATCCTCTGGGGTCCCCTTCTTACCGGCCAGCAAAATTCCCTGCCAGGAAACAAGTCCTCTGTGGGCAAGGGCTGAGAAAGACTCCATGGTGTCTGCTGCCTTCTCTTGTCCCTCACTCTGTGAGGAGAACTTGAGGTCCAGTAAAGCTTACAGGCACTGCTACCTGGACTAATAGAATCTGCTATCCCTACTCAGCATGCACTGAGTCTCCTCCTGGGACAAGAGCACTTTTCTAGGCATATAAGTTGGGGTGGGGCCTGTGCCCAGGACCCTCCCCTCATTTTGCTAACTCTGTTTCCCCTTTCCAATTTACCTTTCCTCTATTTTGGTTCCCTAGAAAATGCTGAAGCCTCTGACAACACTCACACACACTCACAGGTATAAGCTGTGTTTGGAGAAGTACTAGCCTGGGGCATCCTATTCCAGTCATTCCCCAGTTTGCTGTAAGTTGCATAGGAGCCTCCCCAACAGCCTTCCCTCTTTCGCATTTTACTTTTCAGAGCAAGAGTTTTGGGGATACCTCAAAAAAACTTGACACATGAATGTCACACCAGCTGTACATCAGATCACTTTTATTTCTGAGAATAAAGAATGTGCATTGACAGAGGTCTCCACCCAGCTTTCCTTTTGTATGACACAAAATCAAACCACTGCTCCTTTGTGTGTAAAATTAAAAGGGAGGTTTCTGGTTTGTGTGGACACCAAAGGAAGGGACTATCACTACTTGCTCCTAGGAGAGGTGTAGAAAATGTCACTAAGACTTTGTTTATACAAAAAGAAATTGGCATCCAGTTTGAAATGGAATTGCCATGGCCTAGAGCAAAGAATATCCTTACATGATATTATTCTACTAGATCATTATAATTTTTCCCAGATTTATGCTACCCCCATTACCTATAATAGTACCTCGCAACCTTGGAAATCAATAAAAAAATAATCTTTTTGGTGCCTGGAGACAAAGGTAACACATCTCTAGATATTTTAGAATTACAACAGCATAATGTACAATTATCCCAAACAAACTTACAAACAAATTCTTTGGATGTCTGGCAGCAATTTAAAAAGGACATGAAATAATTTAATCCATTCTACTTTGTAGAGGGCCCTGTGGGAAGGCTCCTGAGCATTTTATATTGGCCTCTCTTGTCTTTTTGGCCAAGAGGGACCCTCTTCTCACAATCCAATTGCCCACAACTGTTGCCTTAGCTTTCAGTTTATGCTGAGGTTGAAGCCTCGTGATGGCTGGTACCATGAATCTGTCTCTTGCCCAGTGGATGAGCTAGGAACTCCCTGGAGAAGAAACCTGGGTTTTCCAAGATATATGATCAGTGCTGGGGCCCTAACAGCAGGTGAGGGGATCCCAAGGCAGGTGCTGTGCGTGGAGGCCATGGGGGCATAGGCTACCGAGGAGACAGAACAGAACTTCACATCACCCTGCTTGGCCCCAGAGGATGGCTGGTTAGCCAGAGACAGGTAAGATTCCACAGGGAAGGAACAACTTAAGAGGCACAGTTCTCTCCTCATCAGGAGAGAACTTGGGGGTCAACAGAGGTGGGACACAGACCCTCACCTCCCCTCAACTTTGCAAGGGCCTGAACCCTCACCCCTTCTGAGGGAAGTCTCTTGCCCCCATGGCTGCTTAGCTTTCTTTGCCCAGCTCAAATCAGGACCCAGGTAACAGACAGAGACTTGGCCAACAGCAGCTGCCCCCATATTGCAACAAGACTTGTTTGAGTTGTCTTATCCCAATGATGTGGGGAAGTGCGTTTTTGATATCTTAATCCAGCCTAGCTCCAGGAATGCTCAGGGCCTACTCAAGAAGTAAATTAATCCTTTCCATTAATATTTATAAGGTAAATGATGATTGTTGTTAGAGTATTAAATATTACAGTAAAATAGTAGTCAAGTTTTCAGGCTAAT